TTAAGTATAGAATTTCATTCAAACTTTATTTAGACAGGTTAATCCCACTGAGCCTCGGGGACTCATTTACAAGAGAGACCTGATAATTAATTAATTAAGAATTATAGTTTAATGTTGTTTACTAATAGTTTAACATAACATAAATAACATTTTACATATTTATAAAAAGATGTCACAAACAGCTACAAAATAAGTTGAACTTTGTGCTCTAATCTTTTCCATCCCTGTAACAAAGGAGAACCTGAACATCTTCAGTTCTGGTTTTGAACCAGTTTGACATGACTGTTGACGAAGGAGAGGACCAGCACCGGAGGAGGGAGCGTGCCGAAGAGACCATCTTAGCACCAACATAACTGGTTTGTTCCACTTTGGAGTAAGATGAAGAATCAGTTTTGTGTTGTGTGTTTCCTTGACTGATGAAGCCTTCTGGATGGAAGGTGAAACGTTTCAGCACAAAAAAAGACACTGTCCAGATGACCTGACTGAAACTTGTTGGATTGTATACCTGGATTAGTCCCCATCATACCTGGATTATTGAGCATGGACTTTGTTGATCTTCATTTCTGCCACTTCCTGCTGTCTCCTGTCTTTTTGTCAGTGTCTCCAACCATACAGCACAGCTGGTCTCACTACTCTCTTGTAAACCTTTAATTTGTCTTTTGCTGCCAACCTTTAGACACAAATCGCGAAGGTGTATGTTTAAACAGTAAACTGTTGTAGTTTGTAATCCATTACGTCTGAACAGGAAGTAGTATTGTAGTACTATATTTTGACCGCTAGAGGTCACAATGTTTCAAATTAAGACTCGTGTAAAAATGTTTTTTTTTTTTTGCTCACTGTGGAATAAATTCACATCAGATTAGAGAAAATTTAAAGTCACAACTTGCAGGATTGTGTCATTCAGGAAGCAGACAAAGACAAAATAAAGGCTGAACAATGACTTTAGCTCTTTTTGTGCTTTTTTAAAATTTTATTTGCAGCATCATGGCGTTATTTGTACTGGCTGTTCATGGCGTCCACCACAGCAGATAGAAACTTCTGCCACGTCGCCTGGACCTGCGGGTCCAACGCAGCCTTCAGCTTGCAGGCGATGGTGATGGTGATGCAATCAGCCAGCAGCTGCGGGGAGGAAAAACAGCTGATGAGTCCCGCATAAACACACCCCGCATCTATGGGGTGATGGGGTGCCGTTTGCACAGTCAAAAATCAACATCAATGTTTTGGTTTATTTAGCTTTAATAATAAAAAATAGTGTTTTTTTTTTTTTTCAAAGTCATATTTTCACCATGTTATTCAAACATTTATAAATGTCATAGTTCCCAACTAAATATTCAATTTACAAAATAAACATTTATTTTACAAACTAAATACTTAACTTGCAAGTTAACATGGTGAAAATATTGCTTTGAAAATAATAATAATAATAACCCCTATTTTTTTTCTTATTAAAAGCTAAATAAACCAAAACACTGACGTTAATTTCTGACTGTGCAGTTTTACAAACGGCTCCCCGTACACATCTGTGTCGCGTGAAGATGCGTTTTTACTCTGAAGTTGTCTGGATCCACGTTGAGGTTTTCGTAGTGCAGCCTGCTGAGAGCAGCGTACGTCTCGTTCATGTTGTCCAGGTTCTTCACGGCTCGGTCCAGAGCTCTCAGAACCACCTTCCCATGGGCGGCCACTTTGGCGTTGCTGAGGATAGCACTGGTGGTGAAAATGTCCCCAAATGTGCCGAAATATCTCTCAGTCCAGGGATACACGATGAGAGCTCTGTCAGTGAGAGAACCGTCACTGAATCATCATTTCACTTTAATTCACTTTCACATCAAACATTTATTAAAGCTCATGCGCTCATTGCTTCTTAAAACATCCAATGACGACATCACCCGTGAACTAGTGCTGAGAAGAAGCTAAAACACCAGCTAAAAGCTAATTAAACACTGCCTTGAAGCAAAATACTAAGTTGATGCTAAAAGTAACAAAAGGTTTGCTAAAAGTAGCAAAACAGCTAAACGTTCATAGTAAGTAGCAAAAACAGCATCTAAAAGTAGTTAAACGTTAGCTAAAAGTTAAGAGTAACAAAAAGCTAAAAGTATCAAAACAGCAGCTAAAGGGAGTAGTAAAGCATTAGCTAAAAGTTGAGTATAGAGTTAAAAGCAGCAAAACAGCAGCTAAAAGTAGCAAAACAGATAAAAGTTAAAAGTAAGTAGCAAAAACAGCATCTAAAAATAGTTAAACATTAGCTAAAAGTAAAGAGTAACAAAAAGCAAAACAGCAGCTGAAAGTAGCAAAATGTTAAAGTTAAAAGTAATAAAAACTAGCAAAAAGTAAACATTAGCTAAAAGTTAAGAGTAACAAAAAGCAAAACAGCAGCTGAAAGTAGCAAAACTGTATCTAAAAGTTAAAAGAAACAAAAACTAGCTACAAGTAGCAAAACATCAGATGAAAGTAGCAAAATGTTAAAGTTAAAAGTAATAAAAACTAGCAAAAAGTAGCAAAACATTAGTTAAAAGTTAAGAGTAACATAAGCTAGTTAAAAGCAGAAAATGGCTAGTAGCAAAACGTTAGCTAAAAGTTAAAAATAACATAAACTAGCTAAAAGTAGCAAAACATAAGCTGAAATTAGCAAAATGTTAAAGTTAAAAGATGAGAGTAACAAAATCAACTAAAAGTAGCAAAACATCAGCTGAAAGTAGCAAAATGTTAAAGTTAAAAGTTGAGAGTAACAAAATAAGCTAAAAGTAGCAAAACAGCAGCTGAAAGTAAAACTTTAGCTAAACGTTAAAAGTAACAAAAACTAGCTAAAAGTAGCAAAACAGCAGCTAAAGGGAGCTAAACATTAGCTAAAAGTTAAAAAGGAAGCTAGTTAAAAGCAGCAAAACAGCAGCTAAAAGTAGCAAAACAGATAAAAGTTCAAAGTAAGTAGCAAAAACAGCATCTAAAAGTAGTTAAACATTAGCTAAAAGTTAAGAGTAACAAAAAGCAAAACAGCAACTGAAAGTAACAAAACTTTAGCTAAAAGTTAAAAGAAACAAAAACTAGCTACAAGTAGCAAAACAACAGCTGAAAATAGCAAAATGTTAAAGTTAAAAGCAATAAAAACTAGCAAAACGTTAGTTAAAAATTAAGAGTAACAAACTAGCTAAAAGTAGCAAAACAGCAGCTAAAAGTAGTAAAACATAGCTAAAAGTTAAAAGTATCAAAAAGCTAACTTAAAGTTACAATATGGTGGCTAAATGTAACAAAAGCTAGTTAAAAGTTCTTGTTTTTTTTAGCTCTCTAACGAGGCGTACGCATTCCTCCCCGCTTACTGTTCTCCTCCTGCTTTTTTGCTCTCTGTGTATCAGAGCAGCTCCTATTTTTACACATCTTTCTGAAATGAAAACATTTGTTTTGGATCTGACCAACTGGACTTTTGAAGTAAGTTACAATTATTTTTCAACAAAGCAACCCTCATCTGCTCAGACAACACGCATGATCGAGGACACCGAAATTGCATCTAATTGGATTTAGGATAACGGGTTTCCTGTTTTTGGAATAGTCTGGATACTGGTTTATCAACCAACAAAGAAGACGGCTTCAGCTGATTTGGACCTCGTCAGGCTGCTGTCTATGTGAAGGTCTGGTTCGTGCTGGAGGACTCAAAATCAGCTGATTTACGAGCGAAACCGTAAGTTGGAAGTGATTTGAAACGCAGGCCACCTGCGGATTTGGAACTCGTCAGCATGAGCACGACCTTGAAGAGGTGTAAAGTGATCTTTTTTGTAATGCCACTATCCTCTCCTCATGACTTTGTCCCTTTTTCTATCTAAAAAAAACGTATTCTGAAAAGGATCAGAAGGCCGCGCTTATAGCAGCAGCTTCGTGCACTCCGTTCGTCTTTCGGACGGCTGTACGCAAATGTTGTCGTTGTGTCTTGGTGCAATGATAATAAAGCTTATTCTGATTCTGAAAACAGCAGCTGAAAGTACATCAAAACATTAGCTAAAAGTTAAACTAACTAAAAGTAGCAAAACAGCAGCTAAAAGTAGCAAAACATGAGCTAAAAGTGTAACAAAAGGTAAGCTAAATGTAACAAAAAGCTAATATGGTGGCTGAATGTAATGAAAGGTAGCTAAAAATAGCAAAACATTAGCTAAAAGTGTAACAGAAGCTAAGCTAAATGTAACAAAAGGCTAATATAGTGGCTGATTGTAACAAAAGGTAGATAAAAGTAGCAAAACATGGGCTAAATGTGTAACAAAAGCTAAGCTAAATGTAACAAAAGGCTTATATGGTGGCTGAATGTAACAAAAGGTAGCAAAAGTAGCAACACAGCAGCTAAATGTAGCAAAAAATTAGCTAAAAGTGTAACAAAAGCTAAGCTAAATGTAACAAAAGGCTAATATGGTGGC